CCATCGGACGCTCGTACCGTATGACAGTCACAAAAGTTGAACAGACATTTCCACCACTCACCCCATGTCTGTTCTGTGACAACGCCAACGAAACCTTTTGGAACACCCCAGTGTGATATCCAAGCTTCTTTGAGCCCCATTGTCCGCAGGTAATGCGCAAAACGCGAATTGTCGGACCTGTTGCTGATAACAACAGGAGATGAGGATCGCATCAGCCAGCAAACTAAGGGCATTTGCGAAGCGTCAATATTTCTGTAAGTTGGTTTGTAGCACCAATGGCCAACATGACGCCACGTTTTCACAAATTTCTATTTTGCGCCTTCCTCGCATTCGTCGCACACCCAATATTGCTTCACCAACAGTAGGCTTGGCTGCTTCCGTTGTCTTCTGCGGCGGACTGATATGACTTGGCATAGTTGTGTTCAGAAATGACAATCCGTCTGGGCTGCTTTTGATGCCGTCGTGTTTTGAAAGTACGGCAGCTTTTGCAAAACCGCATGCAACGTACATAAGCAAACTAAAAACAGATTCCTTCATCTTGTATCTCAGTTGCACCGAGCTCTTAAAATGCCACTGAATAGTGCTCAATACAATGTGAGAGTGGTTTGTGACCAATTGGTTGTGGTCTGAAGTTATATCCACTTTCCCGTGCAACTTTCAATTTGACTTAAGTTTTTTTAATATGTCTTTAATTATGGTCTCACGAGAATTTTGTCAAATTCATATGCAGCAGCGCATACACAAATGTTGATGGAAATATGGAAGTATCTCGTTTTAGTTTTCTGTTATGCGCTTTGTACGCGTGCATAATGGATTCTCAGTTCTGGCGTTTTCTGGACATCTTTTTTGGATAGCGTTCACAGTTTGGACATTCGCGAGCTGGCTGAGGTCGTCAAGTTGGCCAAAAACGTAAACGCCATATCCTTAGTTTGGTTGCCAGAAACCGGCAAACAATAATGGCGTGTACATGAGACAGGTCCCAAAACACTGGACCAGTGACCCTCAGGTTAGCATACACACAATAACTGCCCTATGACAAGCCGGAGCAAGCCATATGTTGACAATCGCCGACGCACATGACAGCCAGTGGAGAAAAAGGTGCACCACACTTAGCACATGGTCTGGGTGCCCGAGCGAGCACAGGGAAGTGTTTGTCACAGCTAGCACACGGCCTCGTGACCTAACCAATATAAAGTAAGATACGTTACACCCAGCACACGGTCTCGTATTTCCTGGCGAGTACAAGGTAGATGCAACCCACGTGCATTTTTTCAGAGATATCCCCCGAACCCTTCAGTGCATCACCACAGCTTTAGGAAATTGGGAATGGGAGGGTTGATGGCTCCCCGATCTCCGTGAAGGCCTTACCTGTGAACCCTGTTGTGCTGCATGGAAATCATTCATTGAAAAGGGGATTTGGCTGTCGAATCTGTAAGCTTTCCTATGTCTCGTGGTCATGCCTGACTTTCGGTTGCTTTGGTGTCTACACTTTTTGCACTCGACGTGCATTTGACTTTCTGCCTTGCCACATCATTGGACCATGCTCTCGCTCCCATCAACCATGGTATCGTTTTGGTCGGGCACAGCGAAAATTGGCGAGAGAGAGGGGAGAGGGCGAGGGAGAGAGGGAGAGAGGGAGGGGGGGGAAGAGGCACAAGAAGAGGAGGCGGAGGAGGGAGAGAGGGGGGGGTGAGTATAGGGAGAGGGTGATAGGTTGATGATGAGGGTATGGGGGAGAGTGGGAGGGAGGTTGAGAAGAGAGTATGGATAGTTAGAGGAAAGAGGAGGAGAGAGATACGATGATGATGAGATACTCGATATGACTATATCTTCCCGCTGATCGCTCTGAGTGCTCTCTCATCTATATTAGATTTTCTCCTGAATATCTACTCTTCGTTTGATGGAGAGATTGAGAGAGAGAGAAGATTTAGTATATTATATAAATCTCTCTCTCATCTCTCTCTCTCTCTCTCTCTCTCTCTTCTCTCCTCTCTCTCTCTCTCTCTCTCTCTCTCTCTCCTCCCTCCGTCTACTCTGATGGATTGCTGAGATCGTGATTTTGTAGCAATTGTGTTAAGCAATGTTCGCCACTGACGTGTCCCATAAGATGGCTCCGGCTTGATCGGAGCAGGTCTCTGATTGGTTGGAACATGGCTGTCATCAGAATGCATGCAGCGTGATTATTGGTGGCGCCGGGTGAGCTCGGCGCGGCGCGACCAGCGGCGCGGTCGGCTCTCGCGAGAAACGACGTCGGGAGAGTGTGGCAGGTCATGAGACGGCTATGTGGTTCTTGGATAATAGAGTGTCTTGTGAGCTTTGAGTAATTGTAAACCAAGCGTGCGGTATGAGTTGAGGGGACAGTGGCAGGCTCGAACTTCTCGAACAGAAGAATTTATCATCCGGCTACTTTATAAAAAAAAAACGCTGTTTAAATCTGGAACGCAAATTCGAATGGTCCAAATCCGGGGGGAAACAGGCTTTCGGAATACGTTGGTCTACCGTACTGACCGATGCCCCAACCGTACCAAAAAATTGACGTCCCTGACAGGAAATATGTATTCACCGACGGAAGCTATGTTTCACCAACATCATCGACCCACTTGATCTTTGGTCTGTAGCGACATATACCGCGGAACGTGGGCGAATCAGCCTGGCAGAATCGCCGCACCCACTTGGCATCGGACGCCCGCACCGTATGGCAGTTACATACGTCAAATTTGCAGCTCCACCACTCCGCCCACGTCTGTTTCGTGAGAACGCCCACGAAGCCCTCCGCAGCACTCCAGCGCGCAACCCAGGCTTCTTTGAGCCCCATTTTCCGCAGGTAATGCGCGAAGCGCAAATTGTCGAAGTTGTTGCCGATAATCACAGGAGATGAGGATCCCATTAGCCAGCATAGATAGGCCATCTCCGAAGCTTCAATTTTTCTGTTAGTTGGTTTGTAGCACCAATGGCCAACATGACGCCACGTTCTATCACAAATTTCTATTTTGCGTTTTCCTTGCATACGTCGCACACCCAATGCTGCTTCACCTACTGTAAGTTTAGCTGCTTCCTTTGTCTTCTGCGGCGAACTATGACGTGGCACATTAACACGGGTTAAGTTCAGAGATGGCGCTCCGTTTAAATTCCTTTTCAGGCCGTCGTGTTCTGAACCTGCGTTAGATCGCACAAAACCGCATGTAACGTATATCAGCAAACTAAAAACAGATCCCTTCATCTTGTGTTCTAGTTGCACTGACCTTTTGGAATGACTTATTCGCGGTATCCAATGATGTTGGCTTTCTAAGGAAATGTGCAATTGCGCTGAAGCCGTTTATCCATATTTTAGATTTACATCTTCTTTAGCTATAGTCTCGCCAGAATTTCGTCACATTCATACGGGCAGTGCATACAAAAATGTAGCTAAAACTAGGGAAATATCTCTTTTTAATGCTGTGTTATCCGCATTATACGCGTGCGTAATGGATTATTAGTTCTGACGTTTTATGGACATCTTTTGGATAGAATTCATTTTTTGGACGTTCAACAAGTGATTGTTGTAGTGAAAACGGCCCAATATGCAAGTCCCGCAGCCTTGGTTTAGTTGCAAGAAACCGGCCACCAATAGCCGGGTGTGCCTAAGACGAGTCCCAAAACACTAGACCAATGGCCCTCAGCTTATGATACACAATAACTGTCCTGTGAGAAGCCGGAACAAGCCATATGTTGACAAATCGCCGCCACACTACGGCCAGTAGAGAAAAAGGTACACCACACCCAGCACACGGCCTCGTGCGCCCAAGCGAGCACAGGAAAATGTTTGTCACAGCTAGCACACGGTCTCGTATTCCCAAGCAAGTACAAGGTAGCTGTAACCCGCGTGGTTTCTTAGGATATATCCCCCGAATCCTTCAGTACACCACCACAGACGCAGGAAGTTGGAAATGGGGAGGACCTGTCCCCTCGATTTTCGTGAAGGCTTACCTGTGTACCCTGTTGTTTCGCATGAAAATAGTACATTTAAGGGGGGCTTGGCTCTCGAGCTTTTAAACTTTACTACAGGTCGTAGTCATCCTCAATTTTCGGCTACTTCGATGCAGACACATTTTGCACTTGGCGTGCACTTGATTTCCTGTCACGCCAAATCATCGGACTATGCTCTCGCTCCCATCAAGCCGTTGTCTCACGGCGTCATTCCCAGGGCCCGGTGCAGCAAAAAGCAGGAAAAATTAACAACACTTCGTATCAAGAGTCTGGATGTGCATTGGTCGGATGGGTAGACATATCTTTGGAGGGGAGGGGACATGGGCAACTATTTTGTTGGGGTTCTCCCATGTAGAACTCAATTGTCAATGCCGCAACACACACACACACACACACACACACACACACACACGCACGCACGCCCGCCCGCACGCACGCACGCACGCCCGCCCGCCCGCCCGCCCGCCCGCCCGCCCGCACGCACGCACGCACGCACGCACGCGCACACACACACACACACACACACACACACACACACACACACACACACACACACAAACACACACACACACACACACACACACACACACACACACACACACACACACCGGGAATAATTTGTTTTGCTGAGGTCTGGTAATCTACCATGGAATTTCATCGATTTATTTTTTCTTTACGTCAGAAAGCCCCGGCCTCAGGCCACTACGCGCAACATCAACCAAACGAAAAGCTCAGACACGCTATGACTGAGTGAACTGTTTATCACAACCAGAGGCATACACGCCACGCTTATGCTGATGAAAAGCATCCGGCCCCATCTTTCTGGTCAAAAGCGGCGCAACTGACCATAACCGCCCGCGGTGACCGATAGCCTTGTACTGAATCGGCAAGGAGCAGAGACACGATCTGTCCATGGCTACTTGTAATCCACTCAGCGATCAGTATGAGAATCAGAAGCACAATATATCCAAGCATATATTCAATATATGCTTGTAATCCACTCAGTGATCAGTATGAGAATCAGAAGCACAATATATCCACGGCTGCTTGTAATCCGCACCGTGATCAGCATGAGAAACAGAAGCACAACCTAGTCATGGCTACTGGCAATCCATAGCGATCACTTTGAAGGCAGTAACTATTGCACACGGGGAACGACTGCCCATTCCGACAAATGACAATGTACTGAGCAAATCTGACGCCGGTCAATTGTTTTCCGCCAACGCGCGACATCCACCAATGACATAGCCCCTCGACAATGACGTCACTCCGTTATCAGCCAGTGACAGATCGGTCAGATGACGCTCCCACTGCCCATAGGGACACCGCTCAGCTCTCGACCGACGTTATCTCTTGTCGTATGACGTCATCGGCCTCGGGGCGCCGCTTCAGGGAGGCCAGCCTGGCGGTGAACCGGCCGTTCTTCCCGGCCCCCTTGCCTGTGAGCACGGAGCGGTCAGTCACACTTCTGTACTGTTCTGCGGGCCGGGAAGGGGTCAAGGTCACATCTTGGGACATGGTCTGCTAACATGACAGAGGTCAAGGCCACATCTCAGGGACAAGTTTCTACAGACATGGGATATTAGGGTCACATCTCAGGCCACTGTTCTGCAAGCACAGGAGAAGTCAAGGTCACATATCAGGATACTGTTCTGCAAACATGGAAGAGGTCAAGGTCACATCTCGGGACACTGTTCTGCAGGCGTGGGGAGACTCAGGACCTCGGGGCCCTGGATATTGGGATTGCTGTTGGCGAGTTCATACGTTGCCAACCGTACACACCATAGCACTCCCTTAATCGAAGGACCACTATTGGGATACACGCCTCCCAACGCGTCCACGCAACGGCCAAACTTCCGCAGAGTCGCTGCAATGTCAACAGAACGTTCTTGATAAAGCCCAACTGAATCAGGGAAGCATGCAATATGTTTCCACGCATTGGGGGCAGTGGTGAATTTAACGAGGGCAGGGAAGGGGGGGGGGGCACTAAGGGCCCGCGTGCCCCCTGTTATCTGTGACATGAATTAACATTCGACCGCAATCATTTTGAGCTTCAAAATCAAACATGCCCATACAAAAAAGTAGATTGAAAAATGCGCCCTTGCCAAACACTAAAAAGGCGCACTTGCCAAAACAGACATATAAAAAAAGAAGATAAAAATGCGCTATTGTCCAAAAATGTCGGAGTCCCAATGGTTCGTCAGCACGGAATTCAGTGAGCATTTTTTTGTTGTATATTTGAGTTTACGGGCGCGCCGACTGCGGTGGTCATTTGGCGCCCATAACGAGTTTTGTTTTACCTAAGTAATGAGCCGCATAAATGGTCCCAAAGTTGATGTGTTTGAGAAACAAAAAGATCTGCTGAGATTCAAGAAACTGTGAGATGTCTCCTTGCATATCACAGAGGGCAAGGGGAGACTCATGCCGTCCAAAGTAACGTTGGCGTTCTTCCACGAGGCGTAGACAAGATATAAGGATATGGCGAACGGCAAGGACAGCGCCACATCGATGGCAGATGGGTTTATCGGCTCCCTCCAACATATAGCCGTGGGTTGCGTTTGTGTGCCAGATACGTAGTCTGCACAGGACCACCTCTTCTCGCCTCACCTCGCGGAAACAAGAGAACCACTGACCCAGCTTAGGGTTTATCGCTCTAAGCCTATTAACATCCACCCGATCCCAACAACGCTGCCACTTGTTGTGCAGGAAGGTTTTTATTGCAGGGTAAAAATATCTGGCAGAAGTAGAAAGAGAGCAAACACATGGAGCCGGCGCTGCTCGCCTGGCAGCCGCGTCAGCCAACTCGTTGCCCGTGATTCCAGCGCGACTAGGAATCCAACATAGCATGACTTTCTTTCCGGCCTGATCCGGTTGAGTCAAACGTATTAAAATGTCCTGTATAAGGGGACATAATGGATAAGAAGACTTCACACTCAGAACGCTGCTCAAATAGTCCGTCAAAATGAGATGTAAAGGTTCGTCACCGACTTTAATAAAAAAGTGTCTTAATAATTGCTACGAGCTCCGATGTGAACACCGACGCGTTTGGGGGCAATGAAAACGACCGGGTGACGCCACCGCTCACAAACGCACAGCCTACACCATCAGAAGTTTTAGAGCCGTCTGTGTAGGTACGTGTAACCCTCATATTACGTTATACGTTCAAGCGCTCTGGACTTCATTATATCCAGCAGAGATACATCTGTTTTGTCATTTCAGTCAGCGATGTGTCTGTTGAGGGCGAGATCAAATGCCAGGGATGAGTGCACAGATGACCTGATCGCTTCACCCTTCCAATGGGAGTTTCGTTTTCCCGCAGTAAGGCTTTCCGTAGGCTTAAGCTTAAGGTATCCGGGAGCCAAAAGGTCACAGCGTGCGCCCGAGGTGCATGGCGAAAAAAAGGCACAGCAGGCCGCGAAAAACTGCGAGATATGCGGGATGCCACGGGAGCTGTCGCAACTTAAGTGCACCACGCATGCCTACCATTTTCTCCTCGCTGACAACGGCGGCTTGTGCGATTCTACCACAAGGCTTCAGGTAGGAGATGTACGGAACGCCCCTGTGATGGCACGTAAAGCAGTGTGATGGATGGTGTCAATGATGCGTTTTGCGGATTCACACGCGCTGTCATAAATACAACATGCATAGTCCAGCTTACAGCGTATGATTGCCCGACACAGCAGCAAAAATACAGCAGCAAAAGCGTGCTCCGATCCCCTCCACACGATGTGCGCGTTCAAAGATTTAAAACAGCGTTCACGTAGCGCCTTAAGGTGTGCCTCATATGTTAATCGGCGGTCAAAGTATACCCTATGGTACCTAGCCACAGGCCCAGTTGGAATGCATTGTCCATACATACGGATAGACAGGTCACCGCATTCCCGGCTACGACGAAAATGCATGGCTACAGTCTTACTACTTGAAAACTTGAGCCCGTTCATGGTACCCCACTTCTCAACACGGTCCACAGCCAACTGGAGTTGGCGCTCCATCGATGGTACTCTTGCTGCGCTAGTCCAAACGGTGTCATCATCAACAAAGGCACGACCTGCAGACTGCGGCAGCCCAATCCCGATGTCGTTTATCATATCGACGAACAAAGCTACGCTGAGAACGCCGCCTTGGGGCATACCGTTAACTTGAAGATGCCTCTCAGAGAGCGCGTCCCGAACACGGACACGGAAAGGACGGTCAACTTAAAAGTTCTGAAGGTGCCCATATTGCCGCGTATACCATACCTGTATAGCTTGAGAAGAATGCCCTGACGCCATACGGTGCCATAGGCGCCCTCTATGTCAAGAACACTGCGCCTTTGTGTCGGTTTGCTCTAAATCCAATACGAATCGCAGTGTCGAGAACTAAAAGATCGTCCACTGTGCATCGATTCTTTCAAAAACCATACTGGGCGTTTGCCAAACCGCCGTGGTGTTCTAGAAACCAAGTTAAACGGTCATAAGCGATCTTCTCCATTAACTTAGAGAGCGATGAAGTGAGAGAAATGGGTCTATAATGTAAGGGATCTAATAATCCACTTTTATCCGTTTCTAAAAAAAGAACGACAGTAGCTTCTCGCCAAGAGACTGGAAAGTCACCACTGGTCTATAGCCCATCAAAGACCGCTAAAAGACCGCGAAGCACGCAAGGCGGCAAATGCTTGAACATGTCGTTGTGCACAGTGTCCGGACCTTCACACACACACTGCGAAGCTTGGCAATCGCCGATTCCAACTCGACCAGGGTGGATGGATCATTATAGGCATGTAGTGCGCTCGTCGAAAAGTCCACTGCAGATTGTTCACGCTGCATTTGATGCCGCACAAACTGTGGGTTAGTGTTGCCACCTACGCTGCGGCGGGCCAGCGCCCGGACAATCTCGTTCGTAACATCCAACGGGCGCGTCAGGACCTGTCCGTTCACACATAGTACCGGAAGAGGCATGGATGAAAACTCCCCCGATATACGCTTGATCCGAGACAAAACCTGCGATGTCGGCGTAGCCGGTTCAGCGTCCTTCCGTAAGCATGCCAGGAAGCACGCTTCGCCTCCCTTACAGTGCGCCAAGCAAAAGCTCTCGCCTCCTTAAAGGCTATCAGATTTTCCACACTGCTCCTGGCGCCAAAGCCCGAAACGCACGTTTACGCTCCTGGATGATGCTCCGACACTCCTCCGCCCACCACGGAACAGGAGTACGTCGGGGAGCGCCAGACGTGCGTGGGATACACCTGTTCGCACACTCTAAAAGTCTGTGAGTAAAATCCTCAATAGTGGATGGCGTCCTATCAGGCTCAGTTACAAATGATTCTTCAAGCCGTCTCAAATTCGCATCTCTCCGCTTCCTTAAAATTCCAGCGCTGTGGCCCAACACCCAACGTTCCATCTCTCTTAAACCGAACCCACACTGGGAAGTGGTCACTTCCCATTGGGTCATCTCCGACACTCCACTCGAGGTGTTGGACGAGCTGGGGACTGCAGAGGCTTAAGTCTAGCGCTGACATCTCACCGGATGACATTGTAAAATGTGCACGAGTTCTTGTGTTTAAAATACATAGTAAAGCACAGTGGATAAAATTCCCACACAGCCTCCCACAAGCAATGGTGACGTCACACCCCCAAACAGTGTCATGCGCATTCAAATCGCCTAGAAGAAGAAGTGGTTGAGGCAGTTCAGACAGCAAACATCTAAGGTGCATCAGTGGAAAAGCGATGTCTGGTGGTCAGTGATCATTTTGAACTCCCCAAAACCGCGAAATAGTGCGCACGGTCACGAAACACAAGTTTTTCGATGCACTCCATCAATGATAGCACATTTTAGCAGTTTCTGCAAATCCAGCCACGGGTGTCGGGAAAATGCCCGCCTTTTTGGACGGTCCCCAACTCCGTGTGTGCAACGGGAACTCACAAAACGATTCGTTGACACATCCGACGCGTTACTGAATGCTGATTTGCCAGGCTGCCACAAACGCGCTGAAAGAGGCAGCTGCTTATCTGCGTCAAGACGCGTGCATCAGCAAACACCTGAAAAAATGGCCTGCCTTCCTCCGTCGCCTCGATCCGCATCACACGCGGGTTAGCGTGGTAACACGCTCGCGCCAAGCAGCTCGACGCACCACTGGGCAAGCGTCCAGAGGTCCTCTGTCGACGCCGGAGATGCCATGACGCTACTTCTCGCCTGGGCGGGTGTCGCGGCGGTGTGAGCTGAGGACCACTGACCGTCCATGAGCTGGCAGAGTTTGGGCGCGACGCGGCTGACGAGCTCGGCCGGGCCGCGCACCAGGAGGGAGCCGGCGCCGCCGTCCTCGCCCCCGACCGTCACCACCGCCAGTACCGTCTGTGGATCACACCGGTCACCGGCGTCACACCGCTGCGCCCGCACGCTGCCGAGGTCAGGCAGCTGGCCACTGGAGGACACATCGAGATCACGTTGTTTGGAGTCTTCGGTTGGCTGGTTGTCATTGTTTGGCTGGTCTTTGGGCGAGGGGTATGGGGGCCATGACACTCAGACACTTGGATCAGACACTTGGTACTGAAGGTTTCGAAGACTTCAGACCATCCCAACAAACACATGAGTCTGACAAGGAACAAAATAGGACACGCCGCCGGGTAAGTTGACGAATACGTCCGGCTGACCAAGCAACCACAGCTTCCGTCGCGTACAGCATAGCCTGGGGACATGGTCTGCAGTGACAGGATAACGGTGGCCTTTGCACACGCTGCTGTCTGACGGCCCGAAGTGAAGTTTTTCACAAGGACACGGAATACGGAGAGTATACACTGACCGGTAACACCCCGCAATGCCCACCCATGCCTACTGTGGCCGCGTTCGTCCGACCTGTTAGCGGCGGCCCGGCGGCCGCGGCGCCGGCCTGCCGGGGTCACTGACCTCGTCGTCGAGCAGCGACACCACGGTGGCCATGAACTCGGCGTCGCCGGCCGGCTGGTGGACCGAGAGGAAGCCGAGCGGCGGCGCCGCCGACCGGAAGCGCGTCACCTCCGCCTGCGCCAGCTGACGCAGCAGCTGGCGGCAGGCGCGCTGGCTGGTCTTCAGCGAGCGCTGCCACTTGTCCAGGATCGTGCCGTGCTCGGCAGGACCACACCTGGGCGGCGTACATCAGCTGAGCTCACGGCAAGGTCAGCAACAGCCCTGAAGGCGCACGCTGGGTATGAGGGCCCGTGGACTGGACTCAGCGTCTGGGTTTCAACTCAAGGTTAGTTCTGAGCTCAACGATTGGCTCAAACTGAATGATTTTGTGAAGAGCCGGGTCGGCTACTGGGACAATAGTGATCGGGTCGGATCAGATCAGGTGTCACGACATAATTTCAAGTTTATTGTTGAGGAAGGGATCCCAACAGCTACTGATGTCAAGACATAAACTACCTGTTAGGGGCCAGGGCTAACGTTCGCTGCTTGGGGCCAAGCTAGGGGTCAGTCCTTGAGGCCAGAGCGTTGCTCATGTGTTGAGGCCAATGTGTGTGTGCACAGACTTCGGGGTCAAAGCTCATGCCAGGTCAAGGCTCATGTGAGGCATTGAGATGAGTGTCATGGTTGGATAATATCAAAAGATGACCGCTCACAACTACCAGGCATGTAGCTTCAATAAGTTACTCACTGACCACTGCTGCTCTGCCGTCCAAAGGCAAAAAGGCATAAGAACCATTAATTAGCACAGAACTTAAGCCTTTTCGCTATTGGAGGGCAGTGCTGTTGACGACATGAGAGCAGTAACTTTTCGTATCATAATGCCCGTGAAAATCACGGACCGATTCAACGAAATTATTATTAAATTATTAATTAAATTATTAATTAAATTATTATTAAATTATTAAATTATTATTAAATCATTCAACGTATTCAACGAAAGGTACTTTAGATAAGCGTTTTGAAATATGGTGTGTGTAAACGACTATTCGAGGCATTTTTCAAGATAAAGCTTGTAATCATCGCCCTTGCTCTAACATAAGCTCTATCCTTCCCCATTTTTTACAGCCATCATCCTCACTGAGAGTCTGACATATTCCATGCCATCCCTTTCCGCAGCAGCCTTCAAGTACAACAGCACAGATAACGCAGGGACCCAGAGACCAGTAGAGAGACCACAGAGACCGGAGACCAACACCGAGAGCACAGGGACCAAAGACTAGCACAGAGATGAACGGCCGAGTCCGGCACACCGCGCCTCTGAGCCGACACAGTCTAACATACAGCGCCTCTGTGCCCGCACAGCCCCGCACACAGGGCCCCTGTGTCCACACATCCCCGCACACAGCGCCTCTGTGCCCCACAGCCCCGCACACAGCGCCTCTGTGCCGACACAGCCCCGCACACAGGGCCTCTGTGCCCCCACAGCCCCGCACACAGCGCCTCTGAGCCGACACAGTCTAACACACAGGGCCTCTGTGTCCACACATCCCCGCACACAGCGCCTCTGTGCCCCCACAGCCCCGCACACGGCGCCTCTGAGCCCACACAGCCCGCAGCACGCCGCGCCCGACTCCGTGATCAGGCGCCCATCGCCGCCGTCAGCGCACCTCAGCACGGTGTTGAGGTGGGCCTCCCGGCCAGCAGTCTCGCCCAGGTGGTCCAGCAGCCGCTGGCCGGCCACGAAGTGGACGTTGGTGCGTCCTTTCTTGCCCCGCTCTGCCTGCAGCAGCTTGACGGCCTGCAGATGCGCCAGGCTGCTGACGTGCGTGCCGCAGCACATGTTGTCGTCGATGCCCTCCATGCTGACGATACGCACAGCGCCCTGTGTGCGGCAGCAAGCGGTCAGTCTGAGACTGGCGGCGGCTGGCAGCGAGCGACAGATGGCGACAGATTAGAACAAAACAGAACACAGCTGAAGACATTAGAGCAGGGCAGGACGGGACAGGACAGGACAGGACAGGACAGGACAGGACAGGACAGGACAGGACAGGACAGGACAGGACAGGACAGGACAGGACAGGACAGGGCAGGGCAGGGCAGGGCAGGGCAGGGCAGGGAAGGGCAGGGCAGGGCAGGGCAGGGCAGGGCAGGGCAGGGCAGGGCAGGGCAGGGCAGGGCAGGGCAGGACAGGGCAGGGCTAGAAAGAGCAGCACAGCACAGAAGCAATCAGACTAGAGACGAACAGGATTAGGAAGGGTGGGGCGGGGCACAGTACAGCAGAGCACAGCAAAGCGCGGTGAGGAAAGCAGACTAAGGCAGAGCAGGGCAGGGCAAAAAAATGTGGACTTGAGTCAGGGTGTAGCAAGTGCTTTTCGAGTAAGGACAGAACTAGACGTTTGTGCAAGAGCAGGTTAAGGATGGATTTAGAGCAGTCAGCGACACTAAGGCGGTGCTAGATTCGGAGCAGCCGGTGACACTAGGACGGTGTTAGAATCGGAGCAGCGGGTGACACCAGGGCGGTGTTAGATTCGGTGCAGCAGGTGGCACCAGGGTGGTGTTAGATTCGAAACAGCCGGCGGCACTAGGGCCGTGCTCGTTTCGGAGCAGTCAGCGACACTAGGGCGGTGTTAGATTCGGAGCAGCCGGTGACACTAGAGCGGTATTAGATTCGGAGCAGCCGGTGACACTAGGGCGTTGTTAGTTTCATGCCAGCAAAGTGGCGTTGGCTGAAGTCAAGAGGCAGAGTGGGCCCAGTTATACTCTGCTGTACGACCAGTTAAGGTGACTGTAGTCAAGACAATATGACACATCTCAGGCGAATACGAGCGGGCCAGGAAACGGCACGCGTTCACAGGGATCAATACAGTCAACCATGTCACATAAATTAGGCCCTACCAGTCTGGCACTACGCAGAGTGCACAGTGTCCCATATTTGGTACATGTTTCAAAAACCCGTTGTGGCGAAACCTCAGGACCACCTAGCCTAATAATAGCGCTGGGTAGTGCCACTGCAGCACTACGAAGATATCGTAATGATATCAATAATTATCATTTTCTAGTCCAAATTACGCTGTCAACGCTTTGCAACAGTACTACACTTCCTCCTTTCTTGGTAGCCCCAGAGTGTATCCCGAGTCCGCGACAACTGCAGCTGTCGTGACCGCGGTCGTCATGACAACGGCACAATCTGCTGAGGGCCGTCGTCAGCTGTTACGGGTTAGAGGTACCCTGCTGAGCTGTTTTAACGCACACATTGTCACCCTGACGACGGGCGTGGCACTTTTACTGGTATGAATGATGCCAGTACAAATGAACGTAATTGCTACAGCGGGCGGCAACGGCAAAGCACCGAGAAGTGCACTGGCTGGAGCTTGAGCCAATGTGTCACTTAAGACCATGTAATACTCCGCTTCCCAAAGCCAAAGATGCACTTTGATAAGACCCAATGTGGTAAACGCCATAGGGGAGAAATCAAAGCTATAGTTTAACGCTTCGTTGAATTCGCGGGATAATAGCCTCAAGTTGCATATATTTTTACCTTGAGTGTTTCCATCTTTTGTAGCGCTTATTACAGTCATCTTCGCAAATTAGTGTGTTCCAAACATTAGGGAACATACGTTGGGAAAAGCGAGAAGCGAGTAGAAAGTCCAATGAGATTTCTCCCGCGGGAGAGGCAACTTCAAATCGAAAGTCTGAGCTATTCAAGATCTCGAGAAAACTAGTATCACCGATCAAATTCGACGTGTCTGAGCAAACACTACGACGTGTCTGAGCCAACACTACGACGTGTCTGAGCTAACACTACGTGTCTGAGCTAACACGACGACGTGTCTGAGCTAACACTACGTGAAAAGTACAAGGGCGGCATACCGCCTGTAAGATCAAACCGGACAAACCACGCGGGGATCATCGTAGCCACGCAAAGCAAATATCATTCCAAACAACGATATTTGAGGCAAAAAATGTGCCAATGTTCACAATTAACATGAAGTTCGGGAAGAACGTGTAGGAAATCTTTACACCCGCAGCACGCTTGTCAACTGGCAGTTCTATTGCAACTAGCTATCGCAAGTCTAACCAGTTTTATGCAATGTCAAAGGTCAGACACCACACACCCCGCACGAAGGCACAGCGCAGGTCACATGTGCGATGTCAGTGGCGCTTCACTGACCGTGTGGTCGTCGGGCAGGCCACGCGCCCTGACCCCGGCCAGCTGGGGGTCACCGGGCTGGTGAACCGTGACCCGGACGGGGCGCGCCTCCCGGATCAGCTCATTGGCGCGCCGCTCGGCCGCCTCCAGCTGGTCACGTGACAGCTCGGCGGCGTCTGATTGGCCAGAAGGGAAGCGCACCGACTGGAGGCGGCCGTACACGGGGCGGGCGAGCACTGACAGTCGCGCGCGGCATGGCACTGGGGCGCTGCGAAGTACGCGTGATAACGAACGTCCCCTATCGGCGCAGGCGTGCCCGTGCGTTATGATCGTTACGGAGAGAGAACGTCACGTTCTCGTGCTCATCTGTAGCTCATCGCAGGGCGAGTGTACGGGCTGGGGCCGGAGGCGTCTGAGCCTCCCGGGCTGACGGCAGCCGAGAGTCCGCACCACGTCAACGCTAGGCGTGCAGCCAATAACTCACGATAACGGCAGAACAGCAACATAACGGCATAACAAGGAGCTGATCATAATGGCAACTGATTCATCACGCTGATGAGTGACACATAATAATGCAACAATATAATAAAATTAGCACTGTTGCTGTCAGCTGAATGTATATCTAATATGAGCACAAGCACCATTGAGATCAGGCATAATGGTCTAGTGAGCCGGGCTCAACAAGTCCCCACCCAACCAGCCTGCCCATTGCTGTGCACAGCCCACCGATCTCGATGAATGAGACGGTGTCTCGCAGCGCCCAGGAGGTGGTCTGGAAGCCATACAGCTGGTCCAGGATGGCGGTGATCAAATGCTGACCTGGCGAGGGTGGGAGGGGACGTCAGCTGGACGTCAGCCCATCACTGCCCGCCATGTCACAGCTCAGGGCCCCAGCTCTGGGCCACATCAATGGGGCCACCTGAAGGGTACATCACTGGGGTCACCCGAGGCTTTCATGACTGGAGCCACCTGAGCCATACATCAATGGCGCCTCAGGTGATGACGAGCCTGCTGAGTTCAATGAAGACACTCAAAGCTCAATGCTCCCGCTCAATGAAGGCAGACCCTGGCGCACATAGCCAGGCGACGACGAGCCTGCTGAGTTCAATGAAGACACTCAAAGCTCAATGCTCCAGCTCAATGAAGGCAGCCCCTGGCTGACATAGCCAGAACCAACACCACAACCCATATGACTGATGCCAATTCTGCCAGTTATTTCATGACGCTCAACTTTCTAGCTCCCATAAGCTGAAGCACACAAGACATGGAGGTTGCAAAAAGGTGATCAGGGGTGCCTGATAGTATAAGTTCAACCATTTCTTCATGACAGTGGCCCTATATGGGACCTTGCCTATTCAAAATCACTGGAACAGACCAGGCCTCCAAATCTGTAACGACACATTTACCCATTATACCAGCTCTCTAGCACTGATAACATGGAAGCCCACAACATATCACCTCCCTGCCTTCACACTGCTGCTCAGCAGCATACCTCCAGGTCATGCTACCCCCTTCTACTGACACCCACCCACCCACCGGAATGTTGTTGCATATGGTGCCAGCGGCGACACCAGTCCACTGTGACCTCCACCACGTCGCCCGGCGTCAGCGGGTCACGGACGAAGTGGACTGCCTCGGCGCCGCGTCTGGTGACGCGCAGCACCTCCGACGAGCCGATCGTGCCACGGTCGTCAGGCTGCCGTCACGCCAGATGTACGTAAGGCAAGGCCGTCAGGGAGAGCGCAGCAATGTGGCCATTACATGGAGGCATGAATGAAGGCCTCCATGCCATCACATGGAGCCATGAATGAAGGCCTCTGTGCCATCACATGGAGGCATGACTGCAGGCCTCTGTGCCATCACAAGGAGGCATAACTGAAGGCCTCCATGCCATCACATGGAGGCATGACTGAAGGCCTCCATGCCATCACATGGAGCCATGAATGAAGGCCTCTGTGCCATCACATGGAAGTGTGACTGACAGCTTCAGCATTATAATAATAACCAATACATCACAGATATTATGATGGTGCCACTGTTCAGTGGTTGAGAGTAAGTACACAACACATTGTGGCAAGGCAGTGAATGATGCCATGTTTTATTGGTTGCTACCCATTGTATGCCAAGTTCTGTGGGATGTAATCAATAGCACAGCTACAGCCTACTCATATCATACCTGACCACCTCCTTCTGGGAACAATATTGTGTCATCCAGAATGACCTCATATCCCTTGACCTTTGTCTTCTTGCCCTCCAAAATTACTTGACCTTCAGCAGGAGAGCAGCTGACAACTGTAGCAGGGAGCTGAAATACAAGGCCTGGTCAATGTGATACAAAAGGGTGAGACTATGCTCTGAACACACATGAGGTGCCATGGCAAACTAACATTGAATTAGATCTCAAAACAAAATGGTGACTCGACCTCATACCTAATGAAAACCATGGCACAAGTTCAGAGTATTGAAAATGCATACATAGTTTTCCTTCACATCAAGATTGAATCTGACCATGAACAGTCAATAGAGTCAATCTGCTCACAGAAATGTATCAGAATTCTCAATTACCAAAGGCAATGTTAAAAATAATGATTTAGAGAATAAGAATTATACCAAGATACATCTTCTTAATAGAAAAAATCCCATTTCATAGTCTTTCATGAAACCTTGGAGCCTGGACCATAGGTTGAAACCAAACCATAGGGTCACAAAACTGGTGAGACAGCAAGACAAAAGCTAGGACAGTATCAACAAAAAATACCTAAAATTGAAATATACATAACAGGCCAGCAAACCATAAAGTCAAGAGAACCAAATCAGAATGTTTCCTTTGGCTCAGCTTCACTTGTGCTTCACTTGCATCATGCATGATTGATTGCCATCCTGCAGTAAACAGATACCACCTCACTTGTTTGCCTTGTCATCTAAGCGCACAAATAATTGGCCTTGCTTTGTTTACCTGCATCTTGGCACCAGTCTATAAAATATGTCAGTCTGGCCTTGAATATACTTGCAGCAGGTCTAATCCTACCCCAAATAGGGCGGCCAACCTCCCTGTTTGGAGCAGAGGCTGGCGATCTGATGACCTGGGGTCTTTCAGATTTTCCTCATAATCTAATTTTCACATACTGACAACTAATTGTTCCCTCCCCCTGCTTTGTTCAAGATAGCCCAGAATAACACTGAGCTACACATCTATTATTTTGCATTACATCTCTATGATACCAGACCCCAAACATTTCAAGTGCAATGCTTGGGACAAGATATATGTCTGATACACAAGCCCCCCACACTCCCACTGGCCTCTCTAGTGTGCAGTTCTTTGTATATGCTCTACCTGTTCAGTGCAAGCAACCAAAGCTGGTACAAGTCCACTTTGCAACTGTTCATGACAGTTGTTGAGAGCTTCAACTCAAAGAATTGGTCCATAGCTAAATGGATTTGGTACAAGCAGTCACATCCAGGATCAGAGGGTTAGAATGGCAGAGATAGGCAACTATGGCACCATCATGGCAAACATGGTGCATTCAACCTTATGGATATCTACCTTTACAAATGGCCACTCCTAATTTCCATACAACACAGGGAGTTTTGCAGCTCCACCAGACTTCTGTGCCAGCTCATACCAGCTCCAGGGTACCATGAGTTGCCTCCAAAAAATGACCAACTGCAATTGAGTTGTTACTGCCCAAAAATCCAAAACCTCCTCCAAATGCCAATTCTTGCCTCTACTCTGTTCCAACGGAAACCTGTTCAAAATCTCCCCCATCTTGCACACCAGTTTACAATCAATGTCTATTGAGTTTTCTCCTATCCAAACATCCTTGCTAAGGTCCATTCGCCAGCCCAATTCCCTCGCCAGCCCAATTCCCCAAGCTTCAAACCTTTCTATATTGCATGCTGACAACATTATTTTCATGTCATTGTTAACTTCCGGCTCTTTCACACTCGCTTCCCCTGCACTTGCATGCAACATGTACCTACCTTTCTAGCATAGCTATCATTTTGGCAAGCAAAAACCATAATTGTAAAGAAATTGAACCAGAGGCTGCAGAAAGACGGCCCACTACCAAAACTTCACAATAAGGCAATTTCTATCCGTAGCTTTGGCCGAAGCCAACGTCCGTCGATCCAGCAGCAGATTTACGTCCAATTGCCAGTTCGATATGCCGGGGCGTTTTGATCGCCTCATAATTTGGTGTGCATGACCTTCTCGACACGCTGATTCCGAAAATCACCGTCTTTGGGGTGGGATTTTGCGTAACTTCCGAGTTACAAGGCGCGTAATATCGCCAGATCGACGTCGCGGGGCGCTTCGATTGCCTCCAAATTTGGTGTACAGAGCCTTCTCCATACGCTGATTTCGAAAATCAGTGTCTTTGGGGAAGGATTTTGCGTAACTTCTGAATTACATGGCGCGTAACACCCCAGTTGGGTATTGCGGAGCGTCTCGATTGCCTCCAAATTTAATGTGCAGGGCCTTCTTAACACGCTGATCCCGACAATCACTGTCTTTGGGGTAGGCTTCTGTGTAGCTTCCGAGTTATAGGACGCGTAACACCCCAGTAGGATATTGCGGGTCGTCCCGATTGCTTCCAAATTTGGTATATAGGGCCTTCTCAACACGGTGATTCCGAAAATCAGCGTCTTTGGGGTGGGATTTTGCGTAACCTCCGAGTTATGACACATAACACCCCAACGTGATATTGCAGGGCTTCTCGATTGCCTCCAAATTTAGTGTGTGGGGTCTCTCAACACGCTGATTCCGAAAATCACTGTCTTCGGGTTGTGGTTTTGCGTATCTTCCGAGTTATACGACGCGTAACACCCTAGTTGGATATTGCGGGCGTCCCGATTGCCTCCAAACTTAGTGTGGAGGGCCTCCTCAACACGCTGATTCCGGAAATCATTGACAATGTGGTAGAATTTTTGCGTAACTTTGGAGTCTAAAGACGTAGAATGTGGCTGTTTTATATTGCCACCTTATTGGCAGTGGAACCTGCTGGAAATTTGTTTCGCCGAAGCCAATGATTGTCCGTACTTGCCCACGAGCATACTGCTATCCCTTTGAAATTTGTTTAGGATGAGGAAGTGAAACGTGGGTTGTGAGAATGTGTAGTTATTGGTTGTAATGAACAACGGCGTTTTTAGACATGGAATTTTACGGGACAATCCGTTTTTTTGGACACTGTTGGACAGACAGCTGATCCGTCCTTATGCTCTCGATTGGACTTTGGACAATCGTTCCGGAAGGACGTCTGGTCAGGAGATATCATCCCACCATTACACAAATGCAAAACGATCGTTCTCGCTGCCGCTGCTTTTGATTTGTATGACAGTACTTAAGCGGATCCGTGGGTCCGTGAAAAGCCGACTACTTTGGGATTTGAATAAAGCTTAAATTTTGTTACCTGCTATTTGTACACCTGCGAAGTCTATGTTACGTTACAAACAACGCCCTAGAAAAGTTTGACTTTATTACATTTTCGGCATATGGAAATGAACATACGACACAATGCTTGAATATAGGCTAGGTACATCGGACCTCACAATAAATCAGTTCTAAAACGCCATTCTCAAGGCTACCATCACCTGCTTCTTTCGCACTTATGATTCTTGTTATCCTTGGGAACACACACGCCGCGCTCCTGTGAACATTTGATGCACCGGAGCACGCTAACCCTGCCACACATCTTCGCCGCTAGCCAGCCAGTCATCTGGCACGACGGCCATCACAGGAGTACGACCACGCGACAGGCAATGTCAGTAAAAACGACGCTTCACGGAGGAAGAGAATCATCAACGGTAGATGGCTGCAGCCCCAGTTCGTTTCCATCCCCAGTCTGATCCCCTGCGTGACACAGTGCGGGATGTGGGCAACAAAATCCATCAGGTGACGCGTGGGGACGAGGCTGGTTGCCGTCAGCACCTGGGTGAGGACGGGGTCGGTGGCAATCAGCGCCCGGCGTCGCAGGTCGTGCGCCGTCTCATGCTTCGGCACGCAGCCGGCTATCAGCTGCTCGGGCCCCCTGACCACCGGCGTATCGCCACCGCCGTCCGGCTGGCTCGTGTAGTGCGGCGTCTCCACCACGGTCAGCAGCAGCGGGCTGATGTGGCCGGCCAGCCAACAACATGGGCATGGCGTGCACAAGGGGCATGCGCTACTCCACCAGCGTCACCAGCGTCCTTGGGAGATAAGACAGACGGTGACATCACCCAAATCTTCAGGCCCCAGCGGTGTGGCACGATTGGTGTGGTCACAAGCGACATCTTGTCAATTTTTGGTCAGGACAAACGATGGCAATGACTACGTCGGACTGTTACTCCACCACCTTAAAGGTCAGAGACGAAACAAAGCTGAGAAGGATGCCACTGGGCCATACCACCATGCCAATGATAGCACATACCACACGGTTATCACTCACATCTCGCGAACTGACCTTCTCCAGTGAACTGACACGGACAGGCCCAAACGCGAATTCCAGTATTCCAAAGCGCATTGAAGCCTGGCTTCCCCAACACGCATCTACCGACTATGCATATGGCTATCCCCTCCAGTGAATTTAATGTCAAATTATGCACCAGTAAGTTCGTCTACATTCAAAACTGGATCCACGAAGATCAAGCGCGTTTTCACCCTGAAAAGAGAAGGCATATGTCAGCTCGCCTGACCCCGTGTTGTCTCGCGGCCTCTTGAAAATGTTAGTCTCCGACCCGTTGTGGTCGGTTGCCGCTGTGGCCAGCAGCTGGCCGAACGGGACCAGCTCAACCATCAGCAAGCGCGTCAGCAGAATCAGGTGAACCAGCATCACAATGGGGAACGGATTGCCAGACGCCTGCTCCCGAGACACGGCCAGTGGCAGGCCCGGGATTGGGCTGACAGCTGTAAACACGACAGTGCCCCGTCAGACCACCGATCGGCGCAGGCGTCGCGACAAGACAGGCTTCAATGACGTGGAGTTTTACAAAACATCGCCTGTTACCATACATAACTTATCAGCAAGCCAGGCCACCAAAACGTGAAATATTATTATTTTATGCCATTTGCACTACGTCGTAACATGAGCTGAAGATATGTCGTGCAAACATCACCAAGTGTTACGCACATCGCGCTGAACGCATCTAAATGGAGACCAAAGTTTGGCAGAATTCTGCAGCATGAATACCACATACAAGAGTGTAGAGAAAAATCCCGAATTAATTCAGCAAGTAACACAACCACTCTGATATGTCACTTGTGAGCAATATCTTTACCAGATATAATCATTTTAAATATTCGGCAGACAGTTCATAGCAACCACAGCGAGCTTGGAATGGTTCAAATTGTCACCACAGATACTTGACAGCCTGTTCTCAGCGGCAGCAAGGAAAATGGTGAAAGCGTTCACAGTGGCTATGCACCGCGTTCTAAAGGCCGCTTGACTTTCAAAGTCGCGAGAATCGACGGCTCAGCCCGGTGTTTTAATATTCGGTCACTTGGGTGGCATGTATGTGTATATTTTTCATGCTATTACACCCCGGCTTGTGGCTCACTGCTGACTGCCCATCCGCTTGTTCAAAATCAGCCAATCAGCATCGAACTGCGCAGCCGTGAAGCCAGTATCTATGCACCTCAGGCTTGGCAAATGAACTGAGTAGGTCAGGTGTCTGGGTCGGGTCAAAGGGCAACGCGAGGGCATGCATTAGCGCGAACGAACTGCGTGCGGGGCCGCCGCCGGATAGCTAGGATTCTGGTAGCATTAAGTTATGTTTAAATCCCGTACACCCCACTGAATGAGCTTTGGAACGCTGGCTGCACTGCACCCACAAGTGGGACCCACCATCGCGACATACTCTGAACGAGCACCGTCCGATCCAGTCCTTCCGTGATCCCGCGCCGGTCCGCATCCCTCGGCGGGCTCATCCGTCTCAGGCGCCGCACTGAAGACAACCTCCGCGAGAAGCACCATGACCACGTCGTTGGACTTCATTTTGGCCGGCTGGCTGTGGCAGGCGGCGGGCAGCGTGGCACCGTGACGCGCCTGGAATGGCACCGGCGTTAGCAGCACGGATACTTGGCTGATGCCGAACGCCGGCCGCAGAGTGTCCTATTTCAGCTCGAGCAGCGAAATCAGGTATGCTTACACCTGCCGACGGCCAAGGGGATGGATCAGATGGAACATCCTGGGGCAGCCACGGACACCGGCCAGAGCTTCCTAGCTGGGGCAGCCAAAGACGCAAATAAAAAGCACAAGTTCCAAAGATGCAAGCACAATGACACAGCCTGAGACCACAGGTACTGTGGAAGCGAATATATGTATGAATGTGCAAAAAAGACAGCAAAAGACAAAAAGATGCTGTTAACTGAAAAGAGGTGGACAGAGCAGCACAGTCGTTTCGAGTTGGGAGCCAACGGAGGAATGTTTGCAACTATGCAAAATTAAATTCTTTCTGACCTTACTCCGAGACAAATATTGGGCTAAGTAGCGAGCCCCCCATGTAGGTATATGCACCTCATCCTACCCATCCCCTTACCAAATTTAAGGTCATGTATTCATGCGTACGTAACAGTATGCTGGAAGCTGAAAACTGCATGTAAGTCCGCAAAAACGAGAAGATCAAGAACGTGCAACATCCATTTCAGCAGTTCAAGATACGCAAGAAACGGCGGGGGCTGTACCACAGTTTACAGTGAAAACGTTGGAGTTGTGTCCCGCTGGTGAAATTTTGGGTGCGCCTATACACAAGTGTCACATATTTCCAGCGGCCGCGGCGCCAGTGTCCCTCTGCGGAACGGCATCGCGGAACGGCTTGTGGGAGCCGTTTTTCCTGAGCGGCGAGGCACGGCACCACTGGAAGTTCGGGTGCCTGTCCCCCGGCGACGGCCACGTTGACTGTCGGCTACACCGGGCCTGAAGCCGAGGCCCGGCGGCCGGGTGACCGAGAATGTCCCATCAAGCGTCCCAGTTGCTACAGTTGGGTTATGCGCCTGCGTGAAGGGGAGGGGGAACAGCCAGCTCCGAATCAAGCACAACGCGGATTGTGGAGACCGGCCTTTCGGGCGCTTTCGTGCCCTGACCTCAACGGGGTGTGAACTGCATCTGTGAGAATGTTTGCTCAGTTTGGGCCGCGCGATCATTCCAGGTATGGTCATCAAGCTTAGGTCGAATCATAGCGTCATG